GCATTATGTTACATTAGAATATAAGTTTATATTTTGTTTTATACACTGTGTCTTAGATATTAATATTACTAAATGTTTGTATTTGAAATAAAAAATAAATCTTAGCATTAATACACTGAATCTTCTACTATTTCATTATTCACTGAATCTTATAAAAAATACTATATTACTAGTTCATAATCTCAATAAATAATTTCTTATAATTTTATGTAGATATTGTTTAAGAATAGTTTAATTTTACTATGCTTTTGTATCAATTCAATTTGATTTTGTAATAATAACAAATAATTGAAACAATTCTATTTTACAATTATTTTTGTATTCAAATTATTTTTTATTTCCACTGTATCGTTTGTGAGACTCTGCTCATCCCTTATTTAAAAGAAGGATGAGCTCCGTCAAAAAGGGGGGAGATGTTATGTCCAACCCTAGTTAGATAAAAGCGCTGACTCGATTATTATATTTATTATAAAAGCCTAGAGTTTGAGGTAATCGATGCAGTGAAGTTCCAATGCATATTAAGTGCATATCGCACACGCCGTTCGCGGCTTTTGTACATTTCTTGTATTAATTTAATATTGGGGAAATAAACCAAAAGAACTTCTGGGATTGGGTGTAAAAGTTTTTTTTTTAAAAACACCTTCAGAGCGGCCATCCTAACAGTGCGCGCTGTTGCGCTACTTTTTTTTCTATATCAATAATATCTCATTTTTCACTTAAATCTTGCCGTTTCTCTATTACGAGCCTGAAACCAAAATTTGACATGTTTTGACATCGTTATTTATCTGGTTGTCATGACAATTTTTATTCAAATTCGTTACCGGTCTGATGTTTTTACTTCAATACTTCCACAAAAATACTCTTTTCCTCTTGGCCATTTACAAAAATTTGCTTTTAATTTAAATAATTTCCCGTTCTTATCCCAGATTTGTCGTCGAGCGCGGAGCTCTCTCAAAAAGTATAAAAGCCGAACAATCGGCCAATAAAGGCGGTCTCGCTTCAGCTTTCAAACTAGAAGCGCTCAGCAGAGCGGGACAGTATTTCATGCCGGCACACCGCCTGCAACTTTACAAGGCGCAGGTTCGGCCGCTCATGGAATACTGTTCCCATCTCTGGGCTGGGGCTCCCCAGTACCAGCTCCTTCCACTTGACCGCATCCAGCGCAGAGCGGCTCGAATCGTCGACGACCGAGTGCTTTCCGATCGGCTCGATTCACTGGCGCTGCGAAGAGATGTTGCATCTCTTTGCGTATTTTATCGCATCTATCACGGGGAGGGCTCTGAGGAATTGTTCGGATTAATCCCAGCCGCCAAATTTCGTGAACGCACTACACGGCAAACGTCCCGATACCATCCACACAATCTGGATGCGTGGCGGTCCACCACTGTACGTTTCAAAAGGAGTTTTCTTCCGCGTACAACCTCTCTGTGGAATAATTTACCACCGGTGATTTTTCCGGACCGATACGACCGGGGGACCTTCAAGAAAAGAGCTTAATCCTTTCTAAAGGGCCGGCAACGCACCTGCAATTCCCCTGGTGTTGCGGTTGATCATGGGCGGCGGTAGTCACTTAACATCAGGAGAGCCACATGCTCGTTTGCCCCCACTTCTATAAAAAAAAAAAAAGAAGCATCTCCTAAAGGCCTTATCCCGGGGCCGCACTGCCCCGGGATCCTGCAAGCCTCTGCCTTCACCTGAAGTCGTCGCACAGCCCCGGGATCCTGCAAGCCTCTGCCTTTACCTGAAGTCGTCGCCTAGCCACGCCTACGCCTCCACCTACTAGTGCCCGCGCTATCTTTAGCCGCTGTGCGTGCTTGCTCCAGGCGCTGCGAGCGCCTACTTCAGGCGCTGAGAGCGTCTACCAAGGCGCTGTGTGTGCCTACTCCAGACTCTGCGTGTGCCTACTCCAGGCGATGCGTGTACCTACTCCAGGCGCTGCGTGTGCCTACTCCGGGCGCTGCGTGTGCCTACTCCAAGCGCTGCGTGTGCCTTCTCCAGACGCTGCGTGTGCCTAGATCAGGCGCTGCGCACCTACCACAGGCACAGCCTGTGCATACTCCGTGAGCGGTGAGCACCACTGCCAAGCGCGGTGTGCCACTTTGGTCTTCGGGCTCCGTTTCAGTACTCATTTATCTTTATTATTTTTTTTTAAATAATTGTAATTCACGTCACCCATCATCATCCTCATACTTTTTTATATAAAACTGTAAATATCTTTTAAAATTTTAAATAAATTATTCGTTTTTGTTCTTTTTTGTTGTTTCGTTGTTGTTAGGTTAGGTTCTTTTGTTTTTAATTGTCGCTTCACAAGTTATACTAATAATTTACGCCTAGTAGGGTATTTCATATTTTTAAATCGATTTAGGTACTTGTTATTATAACTAATTACTTATTTTCAAGATAATTCGGACACTCCCAACAATATTCTTGTTTCTGGTGATGATGATGAAGATGAGATAAGATTTAACGCAGAAAATAATAACACTGCGAATTCACCAGCTTCAGAATCCGGGCCGATCACACAAAACTCCAATCAACCGACAAGACCGAGGTCAAAACGTAGCAAACTGTCTCAGATGTCCGAAATGATAAAAGACTTGAAAAATGTATCACATAGTATCAATATGCCATCAGACGAAGAAAGTGATTGTGATATTTACGGAAAGCATGTGGCTTCTCAGTTAAAAAAAACTCTCTGAGGAACAATGTATAATTGCACAGGAAGAAATACAAACAACAATATCCAAATGTAGACTGGCAGATATAGAAAAGAGATGAAGAAACGTGAATATTATTTCTATACTCACTTTTCTTTCTACTCGTACACAGCATCAGCAGAACCGTTACACTCCTAGTCCAGCTTCTACGACAAACAGCGGCAGCAGTAGTTCCTTAGGATTTTATCCCCCCGATGTAACTAAGATGACTGCCTCAAGCAACAGTTCTTTGGGATTTTATCCCACCCAGTCTACACAGATAGCTGTACCCAGTAGCAGCTCTTTGGGATGTTATTTTTCATTGCCAACTCAAAGTCCAAGATATGTAGATCCCAGTCAGGCGATCATCCGTACCGCCCCTAGTACAGCTCTTAATAACGATAATGTTGAGTGTGAAAGTGACAGTGTAACAGATGTTATTAAGTATGCTTTTGATTCAGCTTAGTACCTACTTTTGTCTAGATTATTATGATTTATATGTGATTGTAATTTTTTTTGATAACCTACTATAAGTATTTTTTTCAATAAATAATTTTCTTACCTTAATCTGGGTTTTCAATGACTCATACATTGCCCAACACATTTCCGGTATTAAATTAGAAATAGATGGTATCAATACACGATAAAAGTGACTGAGATTCCGAAACGACATTCCAGAAGCCAAAAATGTCAGCGTAATTTCGAGTTTCACTTTGGCTGGCTAGGCGTCTCTCATAAATAAGTCTTGACGCTGAATAGAGCTTGATAGCAACATAAGCAAATCGTCAAAGTTTTTTGGCGTCATTCTCAAAGCCAGTTTGTATTCCCCAGGATCTTCCATTCTCAACTGGGTTAACAACAGAGCAGAACCTCCAGTTTTATCTCTGTCATCTATCCATTTTCTTACCCAAATTCGTTTCTGTTTAGATATCTTTTCTTCTAACATACCAGTTAGTTCTTGCATCATCACAAAGGTAAATTTTCCCTACAGATTATTAACTTTGATTTTTTGCTGTTTTTGAGAATTCATTTTTCTCGAACGTGTGTACACCAAAAGAAATATACTCGACTACTGACGAAATACTGACTGCTTGTAAGAGTCAGTTTTCGGCGCCAGCACTGACGACAGCTACTGACCCTGTGTAAATGTGCCATTATATTTCAGAGATTATAGGAGCCGTGGTAGCTAGGATTGTTAATTAGTAAGTTTCATAGTGTTAATTCTTATTTGAGTAGATAGTTTTATCATTAAGGGTATTTATGTTGCAATAATTCATTCAAATCGGATATTTAATTTAGAATTTATCACGGGTATAAAAATGCAATACACGAACCGCTCAACGCCGCGTCGATCCCTACTCTATGGAGTATTTTAACGGGACTTTCACTGGCGAATAACTGGTGTTAAAAGGAAGTTTTCGTTTTCAGTAGACTGGTGGTTATATTAGTAAACCGGGGTCTGGAAGAAAACGGTGCACATCAGAAAGAGATGACCGTTTCATCGTTACGAAACCGTTTTACTAATGCTGTTGAGTTGCAACAACAGCTTCGATCAACTCGGAGAACATCTGTGAGTGTTTCTAAGATAAGAAGAAGGTTACACGAAAAGAGTTTAACAGCCCATAGATCTGCTAAAGGTCCAAAACTTACTGCACAGCATCGCAGAGATCGCCTGGAGTTTGCTCGCAATCATTGCGAGTGGACTCTAGAACAGTGGCGTGCCGTACTCTTCTCTGATGAGACGAGGGTCTGTCTCTTCTGCAACGACAGACGTAGAAGGGTCTACAGAAGACAGGGAGAGAGGTTCACACAACCCTGCTTCGAAGAATCCGTCGAATACGGGGGTGGCTCGTGTATGTTTTGTACTGAGGTAGAAGCATTACACATTTACGAACAAATGTGTAAACTGATGGGAGCTGGTGGATTTGAACTGCAAAAATGGAGTAGCAATAATCAATTGTTTCTAAATCACATTAGGAAAGAGAATTTGAACACCGAAAAGTCTATAGCGATTAAGGTTGATAATGTGATGAAGGTTTTAGGCATTTGTTGGAACAGGTGTACAGATAATTTTGAGTATATAGTAAATCTAGTTGCACCTGAAGAATATATAACAAAACGAAAAGTTTTATCGGATGTTGCCAGACTCTATGATCCTATTGGATGGATTGCCCCAGTAATAATTACTGCTAAGAATTTCATCCAGAAATTATGGAAAGCATGCCTTGAATGGGATCAGGAATTGCCCAAAAATCTTTTATCTGAGTGGTATATAGATACGTAATTAATAGAAAGCCCCTTCAGATCAGGGTTCCCGAGGAAGAAGAAATTTTTCAGTCCGAAGACCCAGAGGATCCCGTGGACGCTGCCCTTTCAAGGAGAAACCCAATGATAGGACCACCACCTTGCGCAATGCCCAGAACGCTAAGGTTATTGCACAGGCGGACGCTGCCAGAGAAGCGAGATTTGCTTCGATTGGTCTTGAAGACCCATCACCCGTAACTGCTGTCGCTCAACCTCCACCAACGAGTCATGTAATGTCATGCGACGACCATGTGAACGTTATACCCAGTGTTGCATAAGAGAAACTGTCAGTTATGGTGGAGGCTCTGTAATGTTTTGGGCTGGGATATCTTTGACTGGACGCACTGAGCTGGTTTTCATACGAAGAGGTGCTTTAACTGCAGCATCACAGAGATCTTAAAAGACCATGTGGTGCCATACGCCGGCTATATTGGAGAGACCTTTGAATTAATGCATGATAATGCACAACCACACGTAGCGCGCATCACAACCGATTACCTTGAAGGGGTCGGCATTCGGTTTATGTCGTGGCCAGCAAGAAACCCTGATCTCAACCCGATAGAGCACATGTGGGACACCCGAAAACAAAAGGTTAGAGCCCGTAATACAGTCCCTACAACATCAGGAGACCTTGAAACCGCCATTAGTGAAGAATAGAACCGAATCCCTCAAGAGACCATCAAAATCTTGATAAGTTCATTAAAACGGCGAATGCAGGCTGTGATTCGAGTAAGAGGAGTGAGGGAGTTCCTGTCATATTAAAATCTTTTTAATTGAAAACTCCTTGGTTTTAAAAATCGAATACCATTTATTTATTTAAAAAAAGATTCTCGGTCTTGACACAAGGTTTTGACAAACTTGTTTAGTCGTTGAAAAAATGGAATTGACTCGAGAAAATTCAAGAGCGATGATTTATTATGACTTTCGATGTGGTTTAACACAAAAACAGTGTGTTGACCGGATGATTTCTGCATTTGGTGATGAAGCCCATCCAAAACCACAATTTATCGCTGGTTTGCTGAATTTCAACGTGGACGTATCAAGCTCAGTGATGATCCCCGTCAAGGTCGTTCAAAAACTGCAGTCACCCAAGAAAACGTTGATGCTGTGCGTAAGCTGATTGAGGAAAATCGACGTGTGACATACCGCGAAATTCAGGCAACTTTAGACATTGGCATGAGTCAAATACAAATAATCTTGCATGAACAATTAGGTGTAAAAAAGTTGTTATCCCGATGGATACAGCATTCGCTCTGTGAAGTGCAAAAAGCGGCTCGCGTTACTTGGTGCGTCAGAACTCTCGAAAGATTCCACGAAGGATCCTCAAATGCTGTATACAACATCGTATCAGGTGACGAATCCTGGATATACGCGTACGAACCCGAAACAAAAAACAAGTCACTAGTTTGGGTGTTCGAAAATGAGCCAACCAAAATTGTTCGTTCACGGAGTATTGCAAAAAAAATGGTGGCCAAGCTTGTCTCCAAAACCGGTCTAGTTACGACTATTCCTTTTGAGGGACAAAGAACGGTTAATGCAGAATGGTATGCTAGCATTTGCTTGCCACAGGTCGTTTCTGAACTCCGTAAAGATAGCTGCAACCGCCGCATCATCCTCCATCACGACAATGCGAGTTCTCACACCGCACAAAAGAGTTTTTAGAGCAAGAAAACATGGAATTATTAGACCATCCGCCGTACAGCCCCGAACTAAGCCCTAATGATTTCTATACTTTCCCTAAAATAAAGAATAAATTGCGTGGACAGAGATTTTCATCACCTGAAGAAGAAATCCTGGAATATTTGAGACTCAAAATTCCTTCCTTGATCGCTGTGAATCACTAAAGGTACTCCAAAACGACAGAAGACTTCATGAACTAGTTTACCTGCAACTGTTGAAGCTTCTTGGTTTGGAATGGCGAAGACTTCTGGCCACTTAGTGAAGTAATCCATCACAACCATGAAATAATTGTTACCGCTTTCACTCTCCGGAAACGGCCCCGCCACGTCAATGGCTATTCTCTCCCGTGGTGCACCAACATTGTACAACTTCAATGCACCTCTACTACGAGTCTGAGGTCCCTTTACAGCCGCACAACTTGTACATTTGCAACACCAGTTCTCGACATCGTTTCGACAGTGGACCCAGTAAAACCATTCTCGGACCTTCAATAGAGTTCGTTTAACTCCCAGATGGCCTCCTGAACAATCATTATGGTACAGCTGTAGAACATTCGGTACTTTAGCTTTAGGGACAACCATTTGCAAATGACAGCTGTCTCCCCGAACATTTTCCCATTTACGGCACAAAACTCCATCCTGAAGCAGCAAGCTGTCCCACTGGGCCCAATAGCTTTTAGTGGTCGAACACATCGCTGAGACGTCGCTCCACTTGGACTGGGAGCACTGGCCTTCATCCATTGCAGAATCGGCTTGATGTCCGGATCTTCCTGCTGTGCACGTTGTAAGCTGTCCTTCCACTCGTTGCTGAGGTGATCTGTCCTGAGCATCCTCACGGATACCACTTCCTTCCTCTCTTGCCTAGTAGAATGTTTGCAATCTTCAGGACAAGGTCTTCTTGACAATGCATTTGCGTTGCCATGAGATTTCCCGCTGCGATGTTCGATCTCTACGTCGTATTCCTGCAGTAGTTCAATCCACCTCGCAACTTGTCCTTCTGGATTTTTAAACTGCAATAGCCATTTTAGTGCAGCATGGTCAGTTCGTAAGTGAAATTTCCGCCCCAGAAGATATTTGCTAAAATGGTGCAACGACTTTACCACAGCTAGCGATTCGCGTCTTGTGACATAATAGTTCCTTTCCGGTTTCGACAACGACTTGCTGAAGTACGCTATCACGACCTCTTGGTCACCATTCCGTTGAGACAACACACCGCCAAGTCCTATATCACTCAACTAAACATACAACTATAAATTCTTTGCTTGCATTAGGGTATCCCAAAATAGGTGTTTTGCACAGATGGTCCTTGAGCTCCTGGAATGCGATATTGCAACTTTCATCCCAGCAGCAATGTCGCTTCTCATCGGTTTGCTTGTGCAGAGGTTTGGCTATATCTGTAAAGTTCTTCACAAATCGCTGATAATTCAAGAGCACAAACCCAAAAATGCTCTAACCTGCGTCTTGTCTTTTGGAACCGGCCAATTCTTGACAGCGGCGATTTTCTCCGGATCCGTGCGGATACCTTCTTCCGTCACTACGTACCCCAAAAAGTTGACTTGCCATTTGAATAGTGAACATTTCTTCGGACTCAACTTGAGGTTGGCACTCTGAATTTTCATGAGCACGCGTTCCAGGTTTTGAAGGTGTTCCTCAAACGTACGGCCCACGATGATGATGTCATCCAAGGAGACCAAACAGGCATCGCCAATTAGCCCGGTAAGTACAAGCTCTACCATCCTTTCAAACGTTGCTGGAGCATTGCACAATCCAAACGGCATTACTTCAAATTGCCACAGACCCTTTCCCGTCGAGAACACAGTATTCTCTTTGTCCTTAGGGTCAATTTCAACTTGCCAGTAGCCACTTTTTAGATCCAGCGTGCTAAACCACTTTACTCTTGTAAGCATGTCCAGCGTGTCATCAATTCTTGGCAAGGGATAGCTGTCCTTCCTTGTAAGGTCGTTCAGACGGCGGTAGTCAACACAGAACCGCATGCTGCCGTCCTTCTTCTGTACCAGCACCAAGGGTGAACACCATGGACTAGATGAAGGTTCAATAACACGATCCTTCATCATTCCCTCCTGAGATCGTTCACCTTCCCTTTCTAGGGTTCGCTTAGGGCAGCTGGATCGAAGATCGCCCCTTTCCCCACAGCCATAGCACCTAGGGCTGTACCCTTTACTGCGGTCGCGAACTGTAGCTGCTGCGATCTCCCTGACGCGATGGGAACGATGATCCTGCCGCACGGTTTCCACCTCCAGTGCATGGGCCAAGGCATCCTTAAACGTCTCGTGGTGCCCGCCTCACAGCAGCTCTGACTTCAAGGTCGCGGATGCCGTCGATGAATGTCTGCACCACGTTCCCTTCAATAAGCGCAGGTACAGACCGGAATGCTTTTCGCACCAGCTTCTCCACCTCTAGAGCCCACTGCTGCAGGTTTTCGTTGCTGCGTTGCACGCGATCTTTAAGCTGCGCACGAAAGACGTGTTCCAGGTGAGCGTCGCCATATCTCGCCTTTAATGCCTCAAGGAGCTGCTCATAAGTCACTTCCTCACCGAGAGCTTCTAGAACAGTTAAGGCCTGGTCTCGCAGGCCTAGTGTGAGAGCAGTCATGGCCTGTCTTGTATTCCAGCCGTTCGCCTTCATAACGGCTTCGAACTCGATTTTGTAAGCCGACCAGGAAAAAGTCCCGTCGAACGGCGGCACTTTGAACCCACGTAGCGAAGGTGTTGTAGCTACTACGGGAGCTGTAATTCCATCCCCCAGTTTGAGGTCGTCGAGCGTTTTCTTCACGTCAGCCATCACGTGGTCAACCCGATTGTTCACTTGGTCTATTCGGGTTTCAGCTTCCGACAGGCGGTTGTCATGTTGAGCAACCCTATCCTTCACCTCCCTTATCTCTTTCCCGAAGGTAGCGTGAATGTCCTTCATGAGGAGCATCTGCTCTTTTCCTTATCGCGTTTGAGCTGCTCTTCCAACCGACGGGCCTGTTCCTCTTGTCCGCCCCACAGCTGCTCTTCCAAACGACGGACCTGTTCCTCTTGTCCGCTCTGCAGCTGCTCTTTCAACTGACGGACCTGTTCCTCCTGTCGGCGAGCCTGTTCCTTCTGTCGGCGAGTCTGCTCCTGCAGCATCACCATCAGAGCACCTAAGTCAGGTGCTGCATATGTAGGACCTACTAACGGACCTGCAGCCGGCGGCTGGCCCTCCGACGTCTGCGGCGTTGCACCACCAAATCCTCTTTGGTCCGTCTCCATCTGGCGTTGACTTCGGGTACGGACACCCTCCGTTTCCTCCTTAGGAAAAATCGGCATGATTTTACCCCACTTTTGACACCAATTGTTACGAGCTTGAGGTTCGTGACAGTAAAAACTGCCGATTGAATTACCAAAATTTATACTTTTATTACCGAACACCAATTAAAACCTAAAACACACAAATAATTAATCACACTGATTCACTTTATTTTGCTCCGAAGCTTCGCATATCTCGCCAAATTCAATACTAGATAACGCTGTTGGTCGAAAATTAGTCATGTCATTTTCTGGAAAGCTCTCCTCGCTCTGTTACCCGACACTAGATGGCGCTAGTGCCAGACATCAATTTGGGCGCGCAACTATAGCTATAGCTAGCATGTGTGTTCTTCTGTAAAAACACTAAACACCAAAATTCTAATTACTAGTAGCTCAGATTTAGCTCACAAAATTAAAATTTCTGCTTGAGAGATACTTCTATTTGATTTCAACTTGAAAAAAAAACTTAACCCCGACTGAATAACTTCATGTTAATTTCAAAAACTTTATGGGTTTCTTAGCTCTCAAAATATTACAAAATAGTTGGTACTTTATAGGGCATTTTTGTGCAAAAACTGAGTTTAAAGTTGATACAGTCGAAAATAGTGAAATTTATTTCATGCATTTAAAATGATTTTTCTCACATTTTTCCAATTAATATGGTGAATAATTATGAATGTTAGATAAAAATATTTAAAATAACGTATTTACATAAAATTTTACTCGCAAGTACAACTTTTATTGCAAGCACAATTTAGGTAATAAATGAGATGAGGTCTCGGACGCAGGTAAATGGTGCAAGGAACAGGTATTGTTGAAAAAAGACAACAATAGTAATGAAAAATGCCTACGTTACTCTCTCTAAGAACGCGCTTTTTTCTTTGTCATCCTCAGAGTCGTCAGATGTTTATCGCCTACTCTTGCGCTCGCTCGTACGTACGTTTCTGTGTATTATTGGATTTTGTGTACTCGGTACTTTTGTGTTTTGGACTTTGATTGCATACTGAATTGGACATTTTAATTCCCTGGAACAACAACTCGGCACGTTTACTGGACTTTGATATTGTCCATTATTATTATGGCGTTCTCCCAACGGGATTATGCAGAAATGCATTATTATTACGGCTACGCACGAGGAAATGCCGGACTTGCAGCGAGATTGTACCGGGACATGTTGATACGCAGAGGAGGACGCCAACCAGACACTAATCCAGACCGACATCTTTTTCTTCGCGTGCACAATTACTACATGGAAGGACGTTTACCAGGATTTATCAGTCGACAATCTTGTGAAGGTGAACCGATAAATCCTGACCGCTGTCGTAAAGCGACAGTTAAAAACTAAAGAACCTAACCTAACAACGAAACAACCAAAAAGAAAATAATTTATTTAAAATTTGTAAAGATATTTACAGTTTCTTTTATAAAATGTAAAGCCACAATTAAAAACTATAGAACCTAACCTAACAACGAAACAACCAAAAAGAAAATAATTTATTTAAAATTTGTAAAGATATTTACAGCTTTATTTATATAAAAAAAGGTATGAGGGTGATGATGGGCTGTAGTGATGATAGTGAATTACAATTTTTAAAAAAAAAAGTTAATAAAGATAAATGAGTACGGAAACAATGTATGTACAGGCTATGCCTGTGGTAGATGCACAGCGCCTAATCTAAGTACACGAAGCGCTTGAAGTAGGCACACACAGCGTCCAGAATGAGCACACACAACACCCGGAGTAGACACACACAGCGCCTGGAGTAGACACGCAGCGTCTGGAGTAGGTCCACGCAGCGTCTGGAGTAGGTACACACAGCGTATTGAGCAGGTACACGCAGCACTTAAAGTAGGCACACACACACCGCTCGGAGTAAGCACACACAACGCCCGGAGTAGACACAAACAGCGCCCGGAGCGCCGGAGACACGCAGCGTCTGGAGTAGGAACACGCAGCGCTTGAAACAAGCACGCACAGCGGCCGAAGATAGCGCGGGCACTAATAGGTGGAGGCGTAGGCGTGGCTAGGCGACGACTTCAGGAGAAGGCAGAGGCTTGCAAGATCCCGAGGCAGTGCGGATAAAGCCTTTTAGAGGTGCTTCTCGTATCAAAGCTGAAGTGAGAACCTCTATTGGCCGATTCTTTGGCTTTTATACTTTTTTGACGGATCTGGGATAAGAACAAGAAATTATTTGAAATTATTTAAATTAAAAGCAAATTTTTGTAAATGGCCAAGAAGAAAAGAGTATTTTTGAAGTAAAATCATCAGGCCGGTAACGATATTTGAATAAAAATTGCCATGACAACCAGATAAACAACGATGTCAAAACATGTCAAATTTTGGTTTTAGGCTCGTAATAGAGAAACGGCAAGATTAAAGTGAAAAATAAGATATTATTGGTATAGGAAAAAAGGTAGCGCAACAGTGCGCACGAAGCCCGAAATTGCAGAGTTACGGAGAACTAAATAAAAGACCGAAAAAGGTAGACTCCATTGACATCGATTTAAAAAGTGCTGATAACGTGAAAATACGAAGTGAAAATGATTTGTTATTGTGTTTTTATGGTTTAAAAACGTTACAGGGTCCTATGGAAATAAAGGTGATGCAAAATATCCAGTTTTGAGGCGAATACAGAAAATCAAAAACAGAATGGAAAAATAACTTTAAAATAGTGTAAAATGATATGTAAGTAGCATAACACTACACCGCATTGTCATTGTTTTAGAAGAAGTTGCAAAAGATCCTTCTAAGAGTACGAGAGCAATTCAACGACGTACAGGTAAATAATAATAATTGTTTAAAGAGTCTTTATGTGTCAGCTTCGGCCCCACACATGCCTAATTGGCCTAACATAATTGCCCTAGACTTCGAAATCTAGACAACAATAATAATAATAATAAATATTTGTGTTACATTTTTGTACTTCTTTCACAGGAATCTCTTGCACTACCGTGCACAGAATTTTGCGCAATGAGGGATATCACCCATATCACATACCGAAAGTGTAAGATTTAATTAACACGATAACTGCCATGTCGGACAATGCTGCCCGACATCAAAATTTCCTCTCAGGCCAAGCGAAAATTACAGTTCTGATAAAATTTTACTATTTTTTTTCATTAATACGTTTATTTATGTCTTAAAGTATGTGAAAATTATCAAAAATTGATTTTGAGTATTATTTAAGCAGTTATACGATGTCGCATTCGCAGCATTGCCCGACATGACCCCTAGCGACGTAAAAGCGAGTTTTCCGTTGCAAGGGGCCGCGCGGGTCGAGGTGTCGGTCACCCCCGCCGCACTTGATTAGTCAATTGCAAGCGCTTGCGCATGACTGACTGTTTACGTTAATACGCTAATTTTATTAAGTTTTGTGTATTGTTTATTCTTTTAAAACGTCTATTAATTTATTATACCTATTTCATCATGGATGATTTCGAAGATTTCGATATTAATCAAGAAATGATGACTCAGATCGAAGAAATTGAATTTGATCTTCTCGAAAAAAACTCTTAACTTTTGTTCTGACGAAGAAGAAAATATTCAACCTCCCCGATCTGGATACAGGCGCCTGCAGATTCTATCTTCTAGTGATAGCGAGAGTACTGATATTGAGCACGCCATCCAGAATTTGGAGAGTGCTTCATCATCGAAGTGGACAGACCCTAAAGGTAATCAGCGTAATTTAATTCCTTTTACTGAATGTTCTGGCATGCCTATTTCTGTCCGCTTGTCTGTGACTAACCAATCTCCTGCTGATTTCTTTCCTCTTTTGGTCACGGATGGTATTTTAGAACAAATTGTTGAATGCACTAATGCTTTTGCTATAGCTAAAATAACTCGAACAGCAGAAGCATCAAAAAGTGCGAGAATCCGCAAATGGTCTCCAACTAACCTTGCCGAAATGAAATGCTTTTTTAGCTTGATTATATATATGGGTTTAGTTAAGCTTCCTAAAATAAGCGACTATTGGTCCAAAGATGAAATTATGGGTCAAAACTTTCCACGTACAGTAATGGCAAGGAATAGATTTGAACTGCTTTTGCAAATGCTTCATTTTTCACAAGATGATGATGCCAATAAAGCAGATCGACTTCACCGCGTTAAGTCTTTGTTAGATAAGCTTAATCACAATTTTAAGAGTAATTATATTCCTGGACAAGACATTTGTATAGATGAGAGTATGGTCCCATTTCGAGGACGTTTAATATTCCGCCAGTATAATAAGCAAAAGAGGCATAAGTATGGAATAAAGCTTTTTAAACTGTGCTGTTTACTAGGATATACATACCGAGTTAATGTATACGCTGGCAAACAACATGAGCAAATAAATATTACACCTCAAAGTGTTGTAATGAACCTTTGCCAAGATCTTCTGAATAAAGGGCATTGCTTGTACAGAGATAATTGGTATACAAGTGTAAGTTTAGCTAGAGAGCTCATGAAAAACGAAACATATTTGATCGGAACTTTACGCAAAAATCGCAAACATTTCCCTAAAGTTATTGTTTCCACCAAGCTCAAAAAAGGCGAGTTTATTGCCAAAGAAAGTGATGACGGTATAACCGTTTTAAGATGGAAAGATAAGAGAGATGTTTTAGTCCTATCCACGAAACATTCAACGCGTTTTCTGCCCATCAATAAACATAATAAAACAAATTTAACCGGCTATAGTTCTTGATTATAACAAAGCAAAAGGAGCAGTGGATCTTTCGGGTCAGATGGCGGCGTACCAAACACCACTAAGAAAATCTTTGAAATGGTACCGAAAACTTGCGTTTGATTTAATTTTGAATGTTGCCATGGTGAATGCTTTGGTCTTATATAAATCTGTCACTAACAAAAATTTATCTATTGTGGAGATGAGAAAAGAAATTATGAAGAGTTACCTAACTAATTCATCTACATTTGAAGCTTCTTTAGAGCGGCCGATAAGAAAAAAACATGTGCTTCAGAAGAAAGAAGGTCCTTCTCTAAAGGTGCGTCGTATGTGTGTAGAGTGTTACAAATATAATGTTTCCACATTTGGACGTGTAGTGGCCAGAAATAAAACAAAAAAGTTCCCACTTATTGTGACACTTGCGTAGAGAAACCTTTTCTGTGTGTTGAGTGTTTGGCTAACATTCATAAATAAATTTTATGTTTCTCAGTAGGAATTTAAATATAATTTTTTTTAATTATGAATAATAACTACAAAATTTTGCAAAATTTGTTGTACTTTTTCAAAATTTCATTTTTATTTCTTTGATTAATAATTAATACGTTCTTTGTTTTTGTTTCGATGTTTATTTTATATGCAAAATTTACTTCAATAAAGTATAAGCTCCCCATAATATAGTTTTTCATTTAAATTTTTACTCACAAAAATTCATATAGGTACACACATCAACTCATTCATACATAAACACACTCATACACATACTTTTAGACATATATCGACTAACTCATGCAGATCGCACGCACAGAAATTTTCATTTCGATATTTTTAAAAAACATTTTCATATTAATCTCCATCTTAAGTATTTAATGTCACAATTATATAAAAAAACATTTTTATATTTTATTCATCCTCAAGAATAAAATTACATATGTCAAAACACTATATTTTATAAATTATAATAATATTTGTTTTAAGTCAGAACACTGCCTGCTAAGCAAACTATAATTTTTTTCGCGGAAAAATAATTTTGCTACTTTTTTGTTTTTTTTTTTCTAAGTCCTTTACACTTTCCGAAAACCAACATGATATTCCGTATCTACGGAGCCACGCGGGTCAATACATATGACTATTGTTGATAGCCCTGTCCTACGGCCTGTATGAGTTGATTAAATACACTTCAAAAACGCGGTCAGCATTGACCGACGTGCCCCGAACGGAAAGTCAAGTTGTCGGACAGCATTGACCGACATGGCCTGAACGGAATGATGTCCTTTTTTGCTTAGCGGTTATCGTGTTAAACCGGACTACCAACTTAGAATTCAATTTTCTCAAGAGATGTTAAGAAGGAACAACGAAGACCCCGACTTTTTCGACCGAATTTTATGGACAGACGAATCGATATTCACCCGCAACGGAATATTTAATATGCACAATTACCATTCCTGAGCGACCGAAAATCCAAAACAGGTTCGGCGTCACAACTTTCAACACCAATTTAGTGTGAATTTGTGGACGGACGTTGTTGGCAGAGAACTAATTGGCCCAAAAGAATTCCCAACGAGATTAAATGGTGATAATTATTAAAAAAATTAAAAAATGATTTTGTGGAGGCCATGGCAGATTCAGATGCCACCTTATATATATATATATATATATATATATATATATATATATATACATATATATATATATAAGGTGATAACACGCCAGAACATGATGTTTCAGTGCGACGGTGCCCCTTGCCACTATGCAAGACAGGTTAGAGGTCATTTGAACCAGCATTTCCCAGAGAGGTGGATTCGCCGTACGAGGGCTGCACTAAAATTATCGGGAATGGAATATTTACACTATTCCTGTCATATTTAAATCTTCTTAATTGAAAACTCCTTGGTTTTAAAAATCGAATACCATTTATTTATTTCAAAAAAGATTCTCGGTTTTGTCGCAAGGTTTTGTCAAACTTGTTTAGTCGTTGAGAAAATGTAATTGACTCGAGAAAATTCAAGAGCGATGATTTATTATTTTTTTTTATAGAATAGGGTGACAAACGAGCACACAGTCCACCTGATGGTAAGTGGTTGCTGCGGCCCATAGACATCTACATCTATCCTCCATTAAAAATCAAAATGCAGATGCGTTGGCACCCGTGAGGACTGAGATGGAATGCCTCGTTTCCAGTAAAAAGGGTCTCCGGTTCTCTACACTCACCATACGAAATACAGCAGCATTAAGCTACTATTTCACGCTGGTATTCTGTGAGAGCGTGGTCCTTCCCCGGTCGAGCCGACCCATTCGTGCTACAACTATACTACTAATATAACTGCAGCATGGCTCTACCACGTATAAAATACACATTATGACTTTCGAAGTGGTTTAACACAAAAACAGTGTGTTGACCGGATGGATGATTTCTGCATTTGGTGATGAAGCACCATCCAAAACCACAATATATCGCTGGTTTGCTGAATTTCAACGTGGACGTGTCAAGCTCAGCGATGATCCCCGTCAAAGTCGTCCAAAAATTGCAGTCACCCAAGAAAACGTAGATGCTGTGCGTAAGCTGATTGAGGAAGATCGACATGTGACATACCGCGAAATTCAGGCAACTTTAGACATTCAAATACAAATAATCTTGCATGAACAATTAGGTGTAAAAAAGTTGTTTTTCCGATGGATACCGCATTCGCTCTGTGAAGAGCAAAAAGCGGCTCGCGTTACTTGGTGCGCCAGAACTCTCGAAAGATTCCACGCAGGATCCTCAAATACTGCATACAACATCGTATCAGGTGACGAATCCTGGATATACGCGTACGAACCCGAAACAAAAAACCAGTCAAACCATTGTTCGTTCACGGAGTGTTGCAAAAAAAATGGTGGCCACGTTTGTCTCCAAAACCGGCCATGTTACGACTATTCCTCTTGAGGGACAAAGAACGGTTAATGCAGAATAGTATGCTAGCATTTGTTTGCCACAGGTCGTTTCTGAACTCCGTAAAGAGAACTGCAACCGCCGCATCATCCTCCATCACGACAATGCAAGTTCTCACACCGCACACAGAACAAGAGTTTTTAGAGCAAGAAAACATGGAATCATTAGACCATCCACCGTACAGCCCCGACCTAAGCCCTAATGATTTCTATACTTTCCCTAAAATAAAGAATAAATTGCGTGAACAGAGATTTTCATCGCCTGAAGAAGCTGTGAACGCCTACAAAACAGCCATTTTGGAAACCCCAACTTCCGAATGGAATGGTTGCTTTAATGATTGGTTCCATCGTATGGAAAAATGTGTCAAATTTTGCGGAGAATACTTCGAAAAGCAATAAATACATTTTTAAATAGTAATGTGTCACTTCCTTGATTCCCGAAATTTTCAGTGCCACCCTCGTAATGCACCAATCACCTGGCCTCCAAGACACCCAGACCTGAACCCCTTAGATTTTGTCTAGGGATGCTATAAGGAATTAGTGTACCATCGCGAATTTTCGAGTTTAGAGGAGTTAAAAACTAAATTAAATGAAGCTCAAACAATAATAAGACAAAACACCCAAGCCTTCCTAGATTTGCGCGGTAATTTTTTGCGTCGGTGCCGTTTGTGCTTTGAAGAAGGTGGCAGGCACTTTGAACATTTGTTGTGAAAACAGTAATAAATAAATTATTTCTTAAAATTATTTCTGTTGATTTATTCAGCACAAAGTGAAAATAATTTTCATTTGACTTTAATTGCACTGTTTTGAATCTTTTTATCTAACATTCATAATTATATTATTATTATAAATATTACAGAAAGAGGAGAGAAAAACCATTTTAAATGCATGAAATAAATGTCACTATTTTCGACTGTATCAACTTTAAACTCTGTTTTCGCACAAAAATGCCCTATAAAGTACAAACTATTATGTAATACTTCGAGAGCTAAGAAACCCATAAGTTTCTGAAATTAACATGAAGTTATTCACAGTCAGGGTTAAGTAATTTTTTTTAAGTTGAAATCAAATACAAATATCTCTCAAGCAGAAATTTTAATGTTGTGAGTTAAATCTGAGCTACTACTATCCTACCCAATAAAGTTTAAATATAACTCCATATTTTACTAAACCAATATACAGGATGTCCGGTTTCCGATGTCCGATACTTTAAGGGGTTAAAATACAATTAATTTTATCGACAAATCAGGGATCAATGATTTTTTTTCGCCATCAATAAAAAAATGGCAGCACTTTAAAAACATTGTTGGCGAAGCATAGATGCTTGTATTAATTTAACAATATCTACCCAAGTAGAAGACTTTCAAAAACAAAATTGGTCTCAAATGTTAGTTAATAGTGTAGACAATAAATCTAGATTCAAAATATTATTTTTTAATTTTTCAGTATTAGTAAAAAACATTTTTGAAAAAATAAATGTTGTTTTTCAGATTCTTAGCTTTAAAAAAACCATCGTGTTAACCAATTTTTTTTACTTGTTTTTATTATAATACAGGATATTTGCTATAAATGCACATTTAAATCTTAACTCTGAGTTAGATAGTTCAGGAGCTATGATAATTTGAATGTAACTGTTCAAAGTGCCTCTACCCCGATATTAGATAACTAAACACCCATTCCAGTGAGTAAGATAAAATTCTTCAATAATTCAAGGAATCGTAAGCAAGCACAATAGCATCCTTTGTGTGAGCAGGTAAAAAACGCTGTGCACAACAGTGCGAGCGAGACAGAATAACGGCTGTCTCCAGGTAAAAAGGGTGCAGTGTGCGCTTGTGCCGTCGAGCAGTCGTCCCTCGCTCTGCGTTGTGATAACATTCCTGGTTTTAAGTAAATCTACTTACTGTACATAATTATTGTTTGTTGTTAGACTTTGTTACGTTTTTGTTTTGTTGTTGAAATGTTACTTTTTGTTTATTACAATGAACGAGTACTCAAGCCAGCATATCGCTGACATCCATTTCGTGTATGGATTGTGTAACGGGAGTGCAAATAGAGCTGTTGTAGAGTATGCACGCAGATTTCCTAACAGACGTACGCCGAATGCTCGCACTTTCGTGAGAATTCATTTGAGACTTGCGGAAAATGGAATAAGAAGGCTCGGTAACGAACGTACTCGTGTTTTGTCGCTCATCATGATGCTCAAGATGAACATCAAATATTGCAAATGATTACTCAAGACCCTAGCCTGAGCATTAAACGCATAGCTAATCGTCTCAGTCTATCAAAATGGTCGGTGTGGAAAATTTTAAAAAGAGAAGGATTACATCCTTACCATTTTCGAAGGGTGAAAAAATACTGGAACCGGATTATGTAAGAAGAGCAATATTTTGTTCGTGGATATTGAGAGAAACGCGATATGATCCAAACTTTTTAAAAAGAATTATGTGGACAGACGAAGCTACTTTCACGCGATCAGGGTATACGAACTACCGTAACGAACACCTGTGGCTTCAAGAAAATCTACATGCGATCCGCCCAAGTTCTTTTCAACATAAATTTTCTGTCAACGTTTGGGCCGGAATGATTGACGACATTCTAATTGGACCAATCATTTTACCGGAGACAACGAATAGCCCAAGATTCCTAAATTTCCTGGAAACGAATTTTTTGGATGCTTTATTGGAGTTACCATTGGCCTACAGGGCCAAAATGATTCTGCAATTGGATGGTGCTCCGGCACACTTCGCGCTTCTTGTGCGGAATCATTTAAATGCACACTATTCGTCGTGGATCGGACGCGGAGGAACAATTGCTTGGCCACCGCGGTCGCCGGATTTAACACCTCTCGATTTTTTTTTGTGGGGCACACTCAAACGAAGAGTGTATGTAAATGTGCCAAATACACGAGAGGAGTTAGCAGAAAAAAATAATTCAAGCAGCAAACGAATTGCGAGAAGACAAGGCAATGATCCAGCGCTCTACGCAACTAAGAGCAACAGCATGTCTGCAGAGACAAGGAGGTCACTTTGAGCAGTTTTTGTAATTATTTTGCCAAATTAAATGCAATTGATATAAATTATTTTGTTTTATTTCATTTGCTAGTGTATCCGCGCTTTTCAAGTAAGTATGTTTACACTGTCATAGCTCCTAAACTATCTAACTCAGAGTTAAGATTTAACCCTTAATGCATTTTTGTCCGTTTTTTGGTACAACTAAATTATCAAAATTAAAAAGGTTCCTAAACGTAAACTGGCACTGTTTTTGAACGAAGCGTGAAGAGAGCGATATATCCATCCTCCTCGCACAGACACTACGCGTCGCGCGCATCACAACAGTAACTGTCGTTCGATTTGAAATCTGTCAAGTCGATGTTGGCAGCTATTCGTAAAACAGTGCAGAAATTTGGTATAAAAATGATTAAACCACTGCGACCTGCGGTTATTTCGAAAGGAGGTGAGTTTATTGTTTATTTCTGATCAATCTATAATTACTTTGCATGAGAATTTATAAGATTGTTATGCTAAATTATAGGTGTCACCTTTTACGGACATTGCCGCTTTATCAACACTAGGTGTTTAATTTTAGGTGTCCCAAATAACGGACTTTGCTAATGTTACTAACAATAATAATCTAAACGAGCACGTAAGCATTTTTTTTATGTCTAATGCTTCATGGTGATTGGTTTTAAATGCTAAATATGCTTGTTATAGGGAATTCCACTAATAATATCAAAGCATGGCGTGCGCAAAGAATTTTGGCTATGATTCCACCGTCAGATTCGAAACCATCCGACGTTGAAAATGATTAGAATAATGAAGAAGGAGTATTTTCACGTATAGTGTTAGACGATTCATCTTCCTGTCGAACTCTGTCTCCCGGGCTGGAAGGATTTTTAAATGGTTTTGATGAAGAATTAGCGAGTCCTTCTCTATTAAATAATTGTTATGATACTTTGGTGGATTCCCTTGCAACGAGCAATATTTCTCTTCAACCTTCTCCATCTGTGGTCACCACGTCAGTACAGTCTCCAAGAAATATTTCCAATGTTCAGCCGCATCAATAAATACCATCCCAAAACATCATTCGATTATTTCAAGAAGTTTTGGAATGAGGATTTATGGAACCACATCGTCGAAATGACCAATTTATACTCTATGCAAAAACAAGGCAAGTCAATAAATCTAACAGTCAAAGACATAAAATCCTTTGTCGGTATTGAAATTTTAATGGGAATAGTAAGCATGCCAGCATATGCTGATTATTGGGCACAAGGTACTCGTTTTGCTCCTATCGCAGACGTTATGTCTCTCAAAAAATACGAGAATATGAGAGGAAACTTACACTTTAGTAATAATGCGGAGGATGATCATGTAGATCGTTATTTTAAAATTAGGCCCGTGATGGAGCACTTACGGCTAAATTGTTTGGCGATTGAAGAGGAAAAGCCATATTCCATAGACGAGATGATGGTGCCGTATAAAGGTAAAAAAGGCTGGATCTCGGTGTCAATATATGCCGAAAAAACCCACAAAATGGGGTTTTAAATTTTTTGTTCGAGCTGGGAATTCCGGGATAGTATATGACTTTTTTTGCATACGATGGTGGCAACAGTTTTGACCGTGCTGATTTTACAGAGTGGGAAAATAATTATCTCGGCATTGGCGGGAGAACAGTTATAAAGCTATGTAAAACTATAAAGGATAAACCTTTATCAACTGTTTATTTTGACAACTGGTTCACGTCTCTGGAGCTAATATATCATCTAAGAAATGAATATGGAATTCTTTCTTTGGGGACCATAAGGAAGGACAGACTTAGAGGGCAGAATATTATCGAAGATAAAGTGCTGAAGAAAAAAGGTAGAGGAAACTATGTAATGATTTCAGATAATAAAAATAAGCTATCAATTGTGAAGTGGGTGGACAATGACTGTGTAAATTTAGCGAGTTCATATTGTGGAGAAGAGCCTGTTACCAGCATTTTACGATATAATAAAGATGTGCGCGAAAAGCGGCCTGTTTCATGTCCACACATTATCAAGGAGTTCAACAAAAAAATGGGTGGGGTAGATAAAGCCGATATGTTGATTTCTTTATATAGGGTTGCTCTGAAAAGCAAGAAATGGTATATGAACATTTTCAGCCACCTCATCGACATTTCTCTGAATAATGCATGGCTTGTGTACAAACGTGAAATGCAGGAAATGGGTGATAATTCTATACCATTGAAAAGGTTTCGAATCCAAATTGCAGATGCACTAATAAAATCAGACACGCGTATAAAAATTGTAATAGATTCAGAAATTTCAGCTGAAATCACTAAACCTATAGTTCCGAGGCCGCTACCAGAGATGCGGTTAGATGGGATCAACCATCTACCCGATATCGATACACAAGGACGGTGCCGTCTTTGTACTAAAGGGAAAACAGTGATAAAATGCCTGAAATGCGATGTAAGATTGTGCCTGACTCAAAAAAAGAAATGTTTTTTTGCAATTTCATACACAAAAATAATTAATTAATTACTGTTTAATTGCTTAAGACTTTTTTTAACTGAAAATACTTTTTGCCAATTTGATTGTTTTATTAAAACCACGTTTTTGTATATTTATAAATCGAATTGTTATTTAATATGTCAAAGTTCTTAATTTTTACAGTATCCAGCACTGTCCGTTTTCTAGGACGCTAAATAAAAGAGCAGATTTTTTTACGTATGCAGTGCTGTCCGTTTTATGGGACGTTAAAAAAAACTTCTAAATAAATGTTTTTTCATTTTATTTTATATTTACATTTAATTACTTCCCTAACAATACATAAATATAGACTTTTTAACAAAAAATAATGTTTTATTAGTGCTTTGCCGCTTTAAGGGTTAAATGTGCATTTATAGCAAATATCCTGTATTATAATAAAAACAAGTAAAAAAAATTGGTTAACACGATGGTTTTTTTTAAAGCTAAGAATCTGAAAAACAACATCAATTTGTTGTCTAATTTATTTTTTCAAAAATGTTTTTTACTAATACTAAAAAATTAAAAATAATATTTTGAATCTAGATTTATTGTCTACACTATTAACTAACATTTGAGACCAATTTTGTTTTTGAAAGTCTTCTACTTGGGTAGATATTGTTAAATTAATACAAGCATCTATGCTGCGCCAACAATTTTTTTTAAAGTGCTGCCATTTTTTTATTGATGGCGAAAAAAAATCATTGATCCCTGATTTGTCGATAAAATTAATTGTATTTTAACCCCTTAAAGTATCGGACATCCTGTATTTTATACGTGGTAGGGCCATGCTGCAGTTATATTAGTAGTATAGTTGTAGCACGAATGGGTCGGCTCGACCGGGGAAGGACCACGCTCTCACAGAATACCAGCGTGAAATAGTAACTTAATGCTGCTGTATTTCGTATGGTAAGTGTAGAGAACCGGAGACCCTTTTTACTGGAAACGAGGCATTCCATCTCGGTCCTCACGGGTGACAACGCATCTGCATTTTGATTTTTAACGGAGGATAGATGTAGATGTCTCTGGGCCGCAGCAACCACTTACCATCAGGTGGACTGTGTGCTCGTTTGTCATCCTGTTCTATAAAAAAAAGTGGTGTAGTATACAGGGTTACAAGAAAAATCATTTCTGACTTATTTCACTATGAAACACCTCTTTAATTTTTTTGTTGAAAATTGCCGATTTTAGGCTACTACATTTATTTTTGTTTATTTTTTGTATCTTATTATTATTATTATTATTGCATTTTTACATGTGTAATAAGATTCTTTAGGACGTTAATCATTAAAATAGTGCATAAGTTAATTGAATAAACCGGTTCCCCGACATAACAGCCCCGGACAGAATAGCCCCGACAAAACAGCCCCCGCAAAACAGACAAACAACAAACAGACAAAACATAAAAGTATAATAATAAATAAATAATTATAAAACTAAGTAAGTAATTTACGAAATATGATCGTTGTAGGTAGTATAATATTATTACTTTGCTAGTTGCATTGATAATCGTGCTTTTTATCTTCAGAGTATATTACATAATGAAAATATAATATAATAATAATAATTATTTCTGTGAATATATTGTGGAATTTTATATTCAGCTTTCAATTTAATTAACTTACCTATTATGAGTAGGTTCCAAGAAGGGGCGATTTACGTTTCGGCCGATTAGCAGATTTGAATAAATGTTATAATAACTTATAGTCTGTTCATCGCTTTAAGAAAGTAATTTGTAATGTGTTTACAATACCTATTGTACCTCTTGCGGCGATAATCCTCTTATTGCTATTGAACGAGTATGGGTCATTTAGAAATACATGGGAAGTGTTAATAAATTACTTATTTTTAATTATTCTATAATTGCAGCACCCGGTAAGGGGATAATCCCTCGTAAAAGAAAAGTTAGTTTCTTAAACCGATGAACGGACTATACCTATTATGAGTAGGTTCCAAGAAGGGGGGATAAAGTAATATATAAGAACATCGGGACACACAAAATAACTATAGTCTTGTAGAATTTTGTCTGGTGAAGATCATGGAACTTATTCAATCGCAGAAAGGCAAATATTTACTGTTAAGCGATGGGTACCGGTATCGTAAGGCGAGAACTAATACCGATGGCAGTGTATCACGGAGATGCGCCGAGACACCTTGCCGAGGACGTGTCAAAGTGTCATTGGAAAATGTCGTGGTAAATGTGACTCGACACAGTCATGCTCCAGATCCAGCTAAAAATGAAGCAAAAAAATCTGTGTCTAATATGAAAAGGCGAGCAGCGGACACCCTTGAGAAACCAAGGCAGTTGATTCAAGGATCGACAAGAGGGCTAAATTTGGAAGCATCAGTCCATTTGCCATCGTACAATGCATCTCAGAGAACTGTTGAGCGTATTCGGCAAAGGCGTGAAGTGTCGTGCCCAAACCCAGGCTCTGTTGCCGATATTAATATTCCTGTTGCACTACAAGTCACTTCAAAAAATCTAAATTTCTTGTTATGGGATTCTGGACAGAATGATCCTCATCGCATCTTCATGTTTGGTACTAAAGAAAATTTGGAAGTTTTAGAGGAGCACCGGCACTGGCACGTAGATGGAACCTTTAAAGTAGCCCTACAATTCCGTTGATTTACGTGCTTCTACAGGATAAACGAGAAGAAACATATTGTTACGAGCTTGAGGTTCGTGACAATAAAAATTGCCGATAAAATTACCTAAATTAACACTTTAATTTACTTTACACAAATTAAAACTAAAAACACTAATAATTAAACACACTAATTCACTTAATTCCGCTCCGAAGCTTCGCTTGTGTCGCCGAGTTCAACTCTGCCCGCTCGCATCTTGCAGCGCCTAGTTATATAAATTAGCAAAATATCCAGAATGTTCAAGTAAACACGCGCAAGGTACCGAGAGTTCGAGTTTTAAACTTCAAGAAGTCTAGTTCCTCGGTTCGAGACTAGATGGCGCTAGTGCGCCGATTTGAGCGCGGCGTAACACTGCCCCCCTCCTAAGACATGCTCGTCCCGAGCATTATCGGCCCCATAATAACGCGCTAGGCGATCCACATGGACGATCTTAGGAGTCCCTCTTGCGCCTTTCTGTATCCGGTAGGTTACATCGTTGATCCTGGTCACAATCCGGTACGGGCCGTCCCATTTAGCTTGAAGCTTAGGAGATTTCCCTTTGCTGCGGACTGGATTATGCAACCACACAAGTGAACCTTCGTCGAACCCTTTGTTGTTCAATTTGCGGTCATACCGGGTTTTCATCTTTTTCAGACATTTGCTGGCCCGATTGTCTGACGTGCTCATAAACGTCATTCATTTTGTTCCGCAAGTCATTTCCATAATCGGTTATACTGCGTGGAGTATCAGGTGGTATCCCGGTGATCAGGTCTGCAGGCAGCCGTAATTCTCTTCCAAAGTTTGCGAAAGCTGGTGTCACTGCTGTACTTTCGTGAACAGCGCTTCGATATGACAACAAAAACGGTTGTATGTGCTTGTCCCAATCTCGTTGCCGATTGTCTACAACTTTTGCTAGGTACCTCTCCAATGTCTGATTAAATCGTTCCACCATTCCATCAGATTGCGGGTGATAAGAAGTCGTTCTTGTTTTATGAGTACCCATAACTCGGCAAGTTTCCTGGAATATTTGAGACTCAAAATTCCTTCCTTGATCGCTGTGAATCTCTAAAGGTACACCAAAACGACAGAAGACTTCATGAACTAGCTTATCAGCAACTGTTGAAGCTTCTTGATTTGGAATGGCGAAGACTTCTGGCCACTTAGTGAAGTAATCCATCACAACCATGAAATACTTGTTACCGCTTTCACTCTCCGGAAACGGCCCCGCCACGTCAATGGCTATTCTCTCCCATGGTGCACCAACATTGTACAACTTCAATGCACCTCTACTACGAGTCTGAGGTCCCTTTACAGCCGCACAACTTGTACATTTGCGACACCAGTCCTCGACATCGTTTCGACAGTGGACCCAGTAAAACCGTTCTCGGATCTTCAGTAGAGTTCGTTTAACTCCCAGATGGCCTCCTGAATAATCATTATGGTACAGCTGTAGAACATCCGGTAGTTTAGCTTTAGGGACAACCATTTGTAAATGACAGCTGTCTTCCCGAACATTTTCCCATTTACGGCACAGAACTCCATCCTGAAGCAGCAAGCTGTCCCACTGGGCCCAATAGCCTTTAGTGGTCGAACTCATCGCTGAGACGTCGCTCCACTTGGGCTTGGAAGCACTGGCCTTCATCCATTCCAGGATCGGCTTGATGTCCGGATCTTCCTGCTGTGCACGTTGTAAGCTGTCCTTCCACTCGTTGCTGAGGTGGTCTGCCCTGAGCATCCTCACGGATACCACTTCCTTACTCTCTTGCCTAGTACAATGTTTGCATTCTTCAGGACAAGGTCTTCTTGACAATGCATCTGCGTTGCCGTTAGATTTCCCGTTGCGATGTTCGATCTCAAAGTCGTATTCCTGCAGTAGTTCAATACACCTCGCAACTTGTCCTTCTGGATTTTTAAACTGCAATAGCCGTTTTAGTGCAGCATGGTCAGTTCGTAAGTGAAATTTTCGCCCCAGAAGATATTTGCTAAAATGCTGCAACGACTTTACCACAGCGAGCAATTCGCGTCTTGTGACACAGTAGTTCCTTTCCGGTTTTGACAACGACTTGCTGAAGTAGGCTATCACGACCTCTTGGTCACCATTCCGTTGAGACAACACACCGCCAAGTCCTATATCACTTGCGTCTGTGTCAACTATAAATTCTTTGCTTGCATCAGGGTATCCCAAAATAGGTGTTTTGCACAGACGGTCCTTGAGCTCCTGGAATGCGATATTGCAACTTTCATCCCAGCAGAAATGTCGCTTCTCCTCGGTTAGCTTGTGCAGAGGTTTGGCTATATCCGCAAAGTTCTTCACAAATCGCCGGTAATAGGAGCACAAACCCAAAAATGCTCTAACCTGCGTCTTGTCTTTTGGAATCGGCCAATCCTTGACAGCGGCGATTTTCTCTGGATCTGTGCGGATACCTTCTTCCGATACTACAATCCCCAAAAAGTTAACTTGCCGTTGGAGTAGTGAACATTTCTTCGGGCTCAACTTGAGGTTGGCACTCTGAATCTTCATGAGCACGCGTTCCAGGTTTTGAAGGTGTTCCTCAAACGTACGGCCTACGATGATGATGTCATCCAAGTACACCAGACAGGCATCGCCAATTAGCCCGGTAAGTACAAGTTCCATCAGCCTTTCAAACGTTGCTGGAGCATTGCACAACCCAAACGGCATTACTTTAAATTGCCACAGACCCTTTCCCGTCGAGAACGCAGTTTTCTCCTTGTCCTTAGGGTCAATTTCAACTTGCCAGTAGCCACTTTTTAGATCCAGCGCGCTAAACCACTTTACTCCTGTAAGCATGTCCAGCGTGTTATCAATTCTTGGCAAGGGATAGCTGTCCTTCTTCGTAACGTCGTTCAGACGGCGGTAGTCAACACAAAACCGCATGCTGCCATCCTTCTTCTTCACCAGCACCACTGGTGAACACCATGGACTAGAGGAAGGTTCAATAACAACATCCTTCACCATTCCTTCAATCATGGTTTCCACTTCCTTTTCACGTGCTACCGGCAATCTTCTTGGCCGCTGACGGATAGGCAATTCTTCTCCTGTGTTTATTTTGTGTTGAACTAAGCCAGTCTTTCCTATGTCAGGATCGTTTGATGAGAATACATCGGCGTACTTGAGTAACAACTTCTTCGCCTTGACCAATTCGTTCGGGGAGAGAACGCTGCGACAGCCTTCCAAAAGTGTGGTCACTCTCGTTTCTGCATCCTTGCTGGGGGTCCCACTCGATATATATTGGCACCGACGTAACCAATCCACTTCCTCACAAGTACCAATCAGTGTGCCTTTTTCTATAATCTGTTCCCGGTCGCAAAGGTTCAGCACACGTACTCCTGAGATGTTAGTGGACCTGACCAAGGTTCGAGCTACTTTCCATGGAAGGTCATTGTTTACCCTTTCCACAAGTACACAACGGTGAGCTTGCCCAGCGTTTCGAGGAAGACTAACCGGAACAATCGTTTCCGATCTCGGCGGAAGAACAATCTTCTTAAATCTGTACACATTCCCTGGTAACGCACCTTCCATAAAAAGTTCCTCCTGTCCACATTTCAAAACACCTTGCTTAACGTCGATCTCACAACAATTATTCCTCATAAAGTCTAGGCCTAGGATGCAGTCGTCCATTATATCAGCCACGATGACATTATGCAGGTAGATCACGTTGCCTAGCTTCAACTCCATCTCCTTCTCTCCACGGACGGGTATACGCTGACCGGTGGCTGTTACCAAATTAATGCGTTCTCGGTTGTATGCGGAGTCCCCAAGGAACTGACTTATAAGTTGGGAACTAACAACCGTACGAGAGGCTCCAGTGTCTATGGTCAGTTTACACGGCATTCCGTTGACCTCGCCCTTGATGATTAGACTGTTCCCATCATGGGTTTGTGAGATCGAGATCCTTGGGGCTCTTTTAACATCAGCCAGCACCCGCCCCGCAGTTCTGGCTTTTACTCGTTTCCCTGCTGCTGCAGGGCGGTGCTGTTGGCCGCACTACCCTCCTGAGATCGTTCACCTTCCCTTTCTAGGGTTCGCTTAGGGCAGCTGGATCGAAGATGGCCCTTTTCCCCACAGCCATAGCACCTAGGGCTGTATCCTCTGTTGCGGTCGCGAACTGTAGCTGCTGCAACCTCCCTGATGCGATGGGAACGATGATCCTGCCGCACGGCTTCCACCTCCAGTGCATGGGCCAAGGCGTTCTTAAGCGTGTCGTGGTGCCCGAGTCTCACAGCAGCTCTGACTTCAAGGTCGCGGATGCCGTCGATGAATGTCTGAACCAGCTTCCCTTCAATGAGCGCAGGTACAGACTGGTATGCTTTTCGAACCATCTTCTCCACCTCAAGGGCCCACTGCTGCAGGTTCTCGTTGCTGCGCTGCACGCGATCTTTAAGCTGCGCGCGAAAGACGTGCTCCAGATGAGCGTCGCCATATCTCGCTTCCAAGGCCTCAAGAAGCTGCTCATAGGTCACTTTCTTACCGAGAGCTTCCAACACAGTTAAGGCTTGGTCGCGCAGGCCTAAGGTGAGTGCAGTCATGGCTTGGCTTTTATTCCAGCCGTTCGCCTCCATGACGGCCTCAAACTGGATTTTGTAGGCCGACCAGGAAGAGGTCCCGTCGAACGGCGGCACTTTGAATCCACGTAGAGAAGGTGCTGCAGCTACTACGGGAGCTGTAGTTCCATCCGCAAGTTTGAGGTCGTTTAGCGTTTTCTTCACGTCAGCCATCACGTTGTCAACCCGATTGTTCACATGGTTGATTCGGGTTTCATGTTCTTCGATTCGGGTTTCAGCTTCCGACAGGCGGTTGTCGTGTTGAGCAACCCTATCCTTCACGTCCCTTATCTCTTTCCCAAAGGTAGCGTGAAGGTCCTTCATGAGTAGCATCTGCTCTTCCGACCGACGAGCCTGTTCCGCCTGCTGACGGGCCTGTTCCTCTTGTCCGCTCTGCAGCTGCTCTTTCAACTGACGGACCTGCTCCTGCAGCATCAC